AACTTAGGCCTACATAGAATTTAATAACATCAAAATATTTGTAGTGAATGCTGTTTATATTTACATGTTGTGCATCATTTTGTAGTTAGCAGACTTGGCAAGCTTGTAATCAGTTTTTGTATTAATTAATTTTTTGACACATTGTATCATAGCTATCTGTATCAAATTAGATGGAGACCTCCAACCCAGATGATTGTGTCATAGATGTTTCATTACTGAATCTTTATTGTGGTACCGAGTTGCATTCCAATACAGTTGGAAATCATTGAATATTATATATTGCCAAGTATCGAGATGGGGTATCACTAAAAGTTCAGAGGAAGTAAAACTTTCTTTGTTAAATTGATTATATTGAATTTTCAACTCCAGTTAACGTTTAATGTAGAATGCCGGCGTCTTAGGATTACAATAGTTCATGGCGGTTTATTGTGTCTAACAAATCAAGAATTAACAGAAAAGCCTCTTCTTAAATTTATTAACTATCGAATGCAGTGGGTGATTTTGAACAATCAAACCGTTTCAAAAGATGTTTCGGTAATTATCCATGTATTGTTTGACTCTGATCGCTTGACGAGATAAACTATCTTATAATTGAACGTTAAACGGTCAGGTTTTTTGCTCAAAAATTCAATTTTCTGGTCATTTAGCAATTTGGCCATAATATTAAATAGAATGATAGGAAGTTTGAATGTCATCAAAGTGTCAGAGTAGAAAAGTTATTGGTTCAAAAGGTATTAAATACGATATATCAGAAGCTTATTTATGGCCTGTAATGAAGGTTATATATTGTCTTTTATGAAAGGCTGTATATGCCAGTCACATGCAGGCCATTATTATTATAGTATAAACGTTAAATGAATACCCGGTATTTTATGTATCATTATATACTCGTGTATTGATATATATATTGGATATTGCTTATTATATTGAATGTATACCATTTAACCACATTGGAATGTTTGTCAACTTAAAGCCACGCTATCCAAATATAGTACTAAGATATTTATAATACTATTACTGAGGGCTCATGAGCTTCCTTATGCAACATAAGCACTTGTCAAAAACGGACGAATTCATGCGTTGCAAAATATTCATTATCACTCATTATGACAGTATGCAGTGCATTTTATTCATATTGGCCTTGAATGCGTAACTAACATAGCAATGGGTGATGCTCAAGCCCTTCTGATTTACAAGCTAGAACGTCTCTTAATACTTCATAATTACGAATATAGTAGAATAAAAATCTCAAGTTGCAACTCTTTCAATTATACCATTGCTTACATCTATTGTATTAACTGAGTGGACTGGCCAAAAAGGATGGTGTGTTTACAAAGCCAATCATTGGATGCCATAAGGTGTTCCGTGTCGAAACCCGCTAACAGTGACAGATTGTCATTGTTTTCGAAATGGCTAAGAAAAACTTCTTAAACTGCTATGGCAATTACATATTACATGAAAAGTTTTACACATAGGATCTTTAAGACAGAAGTTTAACCTAATAAAATATACACGTGTTGAATAGAAAAAGGTGGAGATTGTATTTAGTTTTTATTGAGGATTGTATTGAATTAAGAGTAAATGTATTGAAAATAACATTTTTAGTGTTTATAACATCAATTTCTTTAATAGGATTAAATGTAATATGTTCAGGTGGCGTATTTCGTACCTTTTTATGTTCGAATCGTGCTTGATTAAGTCGAAGCTATTGATTTGTGATTCTCTTTTCAAAACTATATACTTTCTTGAGGATATTTTAGTAAACGCCTACAAAGTGATTCGCCCGTGTGCTTTTGTTTCGTTTTTCGAATTCGTTCAATATAAAAACGCGACGAAATGGAAACAATTTTTTAAAAAGGGGACAGTTTTTGGCTATGTTCGATTTTCTTTTCTTTAATTCATTTAATACAAAACCAATAATTAATGAAAGACATGAAAAAGGAGAGAATTTGATCAGTTTGTATAATTTGAAAATACAGCCTTACTAGAAATTTTATTGGGTTACGAGGATTCGGATGTGAATTTATTTATAATCAAAATAAATGGTTAAGAGATGATTTTAATGGATGTGTTTTAAGCTTGTGTATTACTGGAATGGTGAGAGATCTTTGGGATATCATTAGTTTGCAGTACGGTTATGAGTAAAAAAAATCTAAGACAGTTTGCAATGAAAATAACCTCAACTTCATTCAGGGCACGACTCGCTTCAATCTCTAACTGATTGAAAATAAAATTCAGAACTTTTGTGTTTTATTGCATATTTGAATTGTGAGTTTTCCTAATATCAGGGATTAAATAATTTTATCGGATGTTAACAGATTTACGTTTACCATAATTGGCGTTATTCTACTATAGTCGTAACCTACAGAATAACCCTTGGTGAGTAAGGTTTCTTAGTATCAATGTTTTATGCATTAGTGACGTCCTCAACCATTTGGTAGTTTACTGCTACACAATCGTATGATTCTGGGTTTTGTCTTGGTTTTACCAGTCAGTTTATGCTTAATCTTCTTGACAGCTTTTTTCACTTTCCATTATGAAATATTTCCTTAGTTATTGTTGATATACTTCCTCATAGGAATAGCCCATTGCGACTATCAATGTCTTGCTTAACTTTGATTTTGGAATTCGGGCTTCGTTTTGCGTTTTGGGACGTTAGTATTAGGGTTTCTACTATTTAACAATGATGTATCCCTGGCTTTTTGTAGCATGAGTTCTATTATATTTGACAATGAATTTTTATTCATAACGTTTTAAATTTTCCTTTTGACCTTTAGTAGTAGACACTACTCAAACACAGTGACTAGATATTTTAAGTAGTAATCATGTATTAGTTTCGACTGCAATGTTTGGGTGTATCATTTTTTTAATGCGTCATAGATGATCAGTGAAATAACTTTTATATTATGCTTGTCAACTACATTTCCCTTTTAGATAGACCATTACTGTTCAGTTCTAACCTTCGTTTCGTTGTTTTTGTATTAGCTTATATTTTTTAATATAGCCACTTTAGTCTAACGACAACCCTCTTAAACTTTCGTCAAATTAACCTTTTGACATAACTCGATGACGTCTGCTTTAACCAATCAAATTTCTACCCTGTCCCGGGCTGGAATTTTGTCAAAAGCTTAATTTGACGAACGTTCAAGAGGGTTTTCGTTAGACCCTAACTTGAGTGACTACATTAAACATAAAAGCTAATTAAAAAAACATAGAACGAAGTTTGGTCTAATTTTATTTAGACTGATTAATGTTTTGAATTAGATACTTATCATTCTCTTGTGTTATTGTTAACCTCAATATGGAATAGTTGTTATCTTTTGACGAGTATGTATTAATGTTAAAGACTAGGGAATTATCTTAACGCTTTTCTCTGTCTGATGAATATTATTATTGTCTAATTGTAAAGGCATATATGATTATAAATGTGATTTATTGTATAGTTCAGTAATGCAATAGATTTCATTGTCTGTATAACATCTCTATATGTGAATTAATGGGTGCTTACATTTTACATTATAGTAATAAAATTGTTATTTGTCTCGAAAACGAGAACTTTTTGTCCAATTCTTCATTATCTTGGTTTCATGCAATTAAACCGAATATCATTTAAATAATAGTGATTTTGTAAAGTTTGATTTAGGTCCTGAATATATGTTAATAGTCTGCAGAAGAACTAGAACTGCATTCAAATTGCATAATCCCTTCAAATATAACTCAAACGAGAATATATAAGTCTCAATTAAAGACAAGTTGTCATTTTAACTTTCGAACGCATGAATATGTGGACATACATGGCATTGAAGGCTCAACTGATTAGCTTAACTAAAATCATCAGGTATCTGAGACTAAGGTACGATTGGTCATACAGTTAGTGACCTCCAAATTTTTACTGTTGATCCTCTATGATTTTAGGGTAATTGGAAGGACTTGACGTATTTCTTTCATGATTCTAAAACTGTAATATAACATCAACACAATTTTAATCCTAAACTAATTGCATGTCATTTCTAAGGGATGATTAAGTTTGAATGACAGTTGGGTGTGAATATATTGCTATTGTTATTAAAGCTTCCTGCTGAGGGGTTAATATTCCAATGTGTTTAATACTTTGTGTTAAGATACGAGTATGCAAGTCGAAGAAGACCCAAATTCATTGAAGGATTTTTGGATTTATATTATTTTAATCATGTTGATTTCTCGACATTCTATAGCTCAGTTAACATTTAACTTCTTGTGTTAAAGTTAGTTTTTGAAAATATACTTCTGACCGAAAATTTGTTTGGTCCGGTTGATATCAGACATATTGAAATAAATTACATTCGTCTATACCAACTGCACAAGTTAATTTTCAGTCCGTCTAGGTCGACGCCCCACCTTATCTAACGAACCCTTAACCCCCGACGGCGAGAACAAATATAATAAGTATATGTTGAGACGAAGTAATTGACTGTAAGAGTTGGTTTTGTTATCACACTAAGCTGTATTACTTACATCTTCCTTCAATCAGATATCAAACTACTTCTATTCGCTTATAAATCTTATCAATATTTCCTCGACTCTCCTATCACTAACGCTGATCATTGGCCACTGGAACCTTTTAGAAATTGGCGGTAATAAGACGATTTGCACTTAAAGGCTTGTTGTGGCTACACATGGCCATTATATTGCTTACAACTAACGTTTATAGACGTCGGCTAAAGAAATTGTGACAGTTAAAGACCATAGAATATTCATATTAAGAACAATTATCTTTATTGAAGGAAATCGATTTAACTAGTGTATGAGGCTATTTTATTATTTACATCTTCTTTTATATTTTCTATTATCCAGGATGTTAAAGACTCTAATGGTATGAAAAATCGTGTGTAGGATTAGATGGTACACTCGGAGAGCAATAAAGGTTACAGTTTCGACACGCGTTGAGAGTGGTCTGGTGGAATGATACATGACTTGGAAGGATTATTGGGATTAGCTAGTAGTACGAAACCCAGACTAAGATGGAAGGGACAATTGGATTACTGTTAATAATCAACGTCTGTGTCTTGTTTCATAGTGTTTTGTGTCAGGATATCATCTTTTATTTACTAGAGCAAAAAAGATCGGGTACGGTTGTTGGGAATGTGGCCACTGCAAGCGGTGTCGCCCAAGATCAACCAAGTGAAGCACCGTATTTAAGATACTCTTTCATGAATCCTAATAGTCTACAGACATCTCTGTTCGGCATCAATTCCAAGACAGGTGTCATTTATACGACTGCCATGATCGACCGTGAACGCCAGTGTGATCTAGCCGTTACGTGTAATATAGAATTTGATGTGACAATCCAATCTGAAAAGTCCTCGTTTCTGAAATTGTTAACTGTTAGAGTAGTCATTGAGGACATAAATGATAACCAGCCATTTTTTGTCAGAAAGGAACAGACTATTTTGATTCCCGAATCTGCGACACCTGGAACTAAATTTCGAATTGATGGGGCTACTGACAAAGATATGGGTGGTAACAATTCCTTGATTTCTTATCGAATTCGATCCAATAGTAAAAAATTTAACGTAGGCGTAGAAAGAAAATTAGATGGTAGTTCGGACGTTCGGATAATACTTTTACAAAAATTAGATCGGGAAAAAATAAATCGTTACACATTAACTATATTAGCCACTGATGGCGGGACCCCTCCATTATCCGGAACATTAACTCTTCATATAAATGTGACGGACATTAACGATAATGTGCCTAAATTCAGAAAGAAAAACTATAATTTTAATGTTGCTGAAAACACAGCCATTAACTCCAATATTGGTAGAATACAGGCAGTGGACCAAGACATTGGTGATAATGCCAAAGTTTCTTATCAGTTCAGCGCCTTACGAAGTGGCAAGATTGAACAATTATTTGCTCTTGATTCGGCGACTGGCGACCTGACAGTGAAAGCCTCTTTGCAATTTGAATCGGGAAAAACTTATGAAACCATTGTGGAAGCAACTGACCACGGCAATCCTCCTCAAGTAGCACAAACTACCCTATTAGTGAATATTATCGACGTAGGAAATGATCCTCCAAAATTACAATTAAATTTAGCTTCTCCTGTCAATAACAATAGCATATTGCTTTCTGAAGCCGCCCGACCTAATACGTTTCTTGGCCACATCAAAGTAGAAGACCGTGACCCCGGGGCAAATGGAGAAGTGTCATGTCGTGTTGAGGACCCTCATTTTAGTGTACAGGAACTAGAAGGAAAGGGATTCGCATTAATTCTTAGAGAACCTCTTGACAGAGAAACTCAACAACAGAAAACTATTAGAATCGTTTGCAATGATGAAGGGTCTCCTAAACTGTCTAGTTCCACAAGTTTCGTTGTCATGGTAGCAGACGTCAACGATAATGCACCGAAGTTCCAAAATTCGACTTATTATGCTAACGTATCGGAGAATGCTGCGAGGGGAACCTTTGTGACACAAGTGTCTGCTACCGATCCCGACTTAGGAATAAACAGTCATTTTATTTATCGACTAAGTTGGGATGCCGATTCATTATTCGATGTTGATCCTGACACAGGAATAATAACAACGGTCGGCAAGTTTGACCGAGAAACTAAATCACAAATGACTTTTACGGCTAAAGCGATAGATCAAGGAAGAACGGCGTTGATAGGTATCGCTACCGTGGTTGTTAATATATTAGACGATAATGACAACATTCCTGTTATCAAACCAGAATCTCTTCATCTTAGAGTGTTAGAAAATCTCCATGCGGGTAGTATTGCTGGAAAAGTCCAAGTATCTGATCAAGATATTGGCGTTAATGGTGAACTAACGTATTTCATGGCCGAAAAAAATCCCACCATTCCATTTGAAATTTTTACCGATGGTGTTATCAGGACAAACCGAGTATTGGATAGGGAGAGAAAATCCCGTTATGAATTTAATATCATTGTACAGGATCGCGGAGAGAAGCCACTTAAAACCACCGGTCACGTAGTCGTAGACGTAATAGACGATAACGATCACAGTCCAGTCATTGAATTCCCTGCTTCAGAAAACCGAAGTGTGATAGTATCGTCTGACTTGAAACCTGGGGATACAATAACCAAGATTATTGCTTACGATGGCGACGAAGGGGACAATGCCGAGCTGTCGTATTCAATAGTTAACGGAAATGAAGGAAAGTTGTTCGATATTTCTCCAAAGACTGGTATCGTCTTTCTAACTCGAATTATTACACTTGATGACAATGAATTTTACAAATTAAAGGTTTGTGTTCAGGATCATGGTGCGAAGCAAAGAGAAAAGCGTGATGTGTTGAATATTAAAGTAATTTTTACTAACGCCACACTGGCAGCTAGTAGACAAAGCTCAAGTGGACAGAAATATATCATCATTGCAGGAATCATTGCCGGTTCCACAGTGGTACTTGCCATCATAATAGTGACAATTATTCTCAGAATAAGAAATTCTGATGACAGACACAGACATGGGGAAACAGTGGGTATACAGGAAGAAGGTGACCCGAGAGATTTTGAAAAGGGAAAAGTTGATGGAACTTTTAAGAAACCTGTGACTTTAGCCCCTGGTGAAAGTTTTCATATCTTCCCTAATTCAAAGATGGAGAAAGATCTCAAATTCACTTTTGGTTCAGATGACAAAGATTGTTATGATTCTAAACCAAATTCCAATCATTACAACAAGCCAGAATTTGTCACATTTTCAAAGGTGAGTTGCTTTTATCTTTATTTCCAAATTCATATCACCTATAACCCTTAAATGTAACAGCAAATGGCATTGCCATTAATTAATGGTTATAATAATAACGAAGACCTAACTAAAACCGGGTCACTTTCATGTGACGTCGCACTCTATTAGAATTACTAAAACAAAGAAATTTTCTACACATTTATACAGTTCAATGTTTGAGATGGAATATTGACTTTTCTTCATATTTAATTAGTAAATTAATTAAATATCAAACGAATATTGGAAATCAAAATGTAACATACTAACTATGCTGGTCAGATCCAGAAGTTTTGTAAACAAAGTTAATCGATATAATGTTAAAAATTTAAGAAATCTTATGTACATTAACATCGTATTTACATTGATATACCCCATATCTTAAATCTTAAAGTAATTGTTCCTTTAAAACTAATAAGGAAAAGCATTAACCATGCACAAACAAACACGAACTTAGAAATTATCCATCTCACTACTCTCCTTCTTCCGTTTCATTAATTTGAGGCCTTCGATCAATGTGTAGAAAAATATTCCGTTTTTTAATTTAAGAATCAAAAGGCGCGTAAAAAAGTCATTCGGGGAATTACTCCGAGTAAATAATGCTTAAAATGCATCTCCTTTGATTTTGAATGTTTCAAAGCGAAGTGGAAAATCGAGTGTTGGATGCTTGTGGCGAGTTTTTCCTCAAGCTTTTATAGTCGTTGAAACTATCCACCGTTCACTTATTACCACTCTATTCACACAGTTGGCTTCCTAAATTATATCATTCAATTTTATACTCACCATACAAGCTGCACTGTCGTGGATTGTTTGTGTGATGAGAGACACCTTTTAGGGCTTTCAGGCCAATTAATTTCATCCCTTTTACTTTTAATGATTTGAGAGGACATCAACCTAGCATTCCGTTGAGTCATAATGTCTTGCTAATATGCCAATAACACCATTGCTCGGTATCATACACACGCTTTCTTAATTTAACGACGAACTGTATTCAGACCAAGAAGACGGTAAAATGTTATAGTATAATCAGAACCACCTATATCATTACGAAACCAATTTCTTTGCCAATATCTGGGCATATTCCCATTAAGGGACTGAATATGCTCATGACTATTTTCTCGAGCATTCCAATAAATTGATTTAAATGTTTTCTACTGGCGCTCAGACATTGAGAGTGAGCAATATTCTGAATTTAAGATACCGAATCGTACTGAAATCATGTTCTTCGCTAAAGTAATTCAAAGTTTCAAATTGTTTAGCTGTAATGAAATAGCCTAGTTCGTGTTACACCATACAACTTAATAAGTCACGCTATGGAGGGCATATGAAGTAATGGATATATCTATATCTTCCCACTATTGAAACTGGAAACTACCTTTTTAATCAACCCATTCCATCATTCGGTAGATTCATGTACAAATATTTCCAGAATATGTCATTCTTAGATTTATGAGCATTATAATGTTTTTGTTAGTCGTATATATCTATATATCAGAACAAAAAACATTATAAGATATGTGCATTATCGTAATGACATGCAGAGTGAAATCATGTGTTTTTGAAAATTGAAGAAACCCTGTTTCGCTCGCAACACTCATGGCCATGTTCTTGTTGCAGTGGAATTCATTTACTTTAGCAAACGGGTGTAAACATTAATTGGTGAGACGCACCAACTTCTGTGGTCCATACCTAAGAAAACAAAAAAGTATGTGAAGCAGCGAGTCCACATGAATACCTTGCACTGAAAGTCTCGAAGAATTCTCATTGTGTCACGTAATCATTATAAAATTGTCTGTGCCAATACCCAATTATAGCCAAGTCTGTATTTTATATTCTGCGAGTTCCAAACGTGTTATCGACGTTTCAAGGTCAATAGAATGCAGTCAATACAACTTCATTATTCCAGCAATTTGTTTCTGTATAGAAAAATTCAATATAGATACGGCTTTGAAAAGAGATTTAACAGGACATTCAAATGTGAAATTTAATTGTCTGTACGCTAAAGGATGTTGGTTTATCGCTTCTTACATTCTTTCAAACGTTTTAGCACCATTACGTTTGTGGTATTTCCAATTTGAATCAGGCAGCAAATGTGTCGGAGTTGATAATTGGAAAGATTTATTGAAAAATAATAGACGGAGTAAAAATATTGAACTTTGGTTCTTCATTACTGTATCTTAAGTTTTCGCGGCCATCATTAGATTCATTATTAGTGTTAACGATCGGTAGTAAACCACAGCCCTGAAGACATAACGCTACCAATACATATAATGTGGGAAAATTAGTTGTAACGGCATACGGTTTATCAATGGATCTGCCGAGAAACTTATCGCTGGCCATTTTCCAATCTAAAACCTTGTCACTCAGTCGTCTGATCGATGCCAATGATAGAAAGCTACGATAACTAGTCGTCGATATTTTCTCATCAAGGAAATATGGTCTTGTCACACATGAATTTAAACGGTTAACTTCACCAAATAAATCACACTTTCGATCATGCTTTTTATAGGACTTCTACGTCAAATTTCCTTCATAGTCTTTCCTAAGTTTTAATAATATTAGACTCGCCGTGAAGATGCAATTAGACAGTCTTAAAGATTTGAATTGACTTTTCTCAAGAACTATGAGAAACTCAAACAGCTAGTTTTTAAAGCGAAACGTCAATCTCAATAACCGCCACAAAACACGCTTCGATGGGACTTGAAAACACAAATGATCACGTTTTAGACACTGACAAATTTCTTCTTGCTTGCCAAGAAATAATAAACACTATCATGTACTCCCAGAGGACTCGGGTCTTGGGAACGAAGTCAAGTTTAATTTGTAATTGTACAGTTGTATGGTTATATTTCAAGTAAAAATATGAAATTCAATTGAAAGTTCAATAGATAAAAGTATATTTCATTATCATACGCAGTAAGGACGATTTTGTACTTCGGCATTTAACCATTGTATCATATAATCTTCCATATGGTCTATAAGAATCCATAGAATCTTGAGCCTTTTTATCAGAGACTACCAGCTACCCGCTGAGAAATGTAACGCATCATATTACATTAAATAATGATAATAGTGTACTGCTATCATAATTTATTTGTTTTATTTTGTTCGAACGTTTGGCAAATCGTGACATTAACAAGTGTTCAGGGTAGTTATAAAGACGTTTTCCCCATGAACATGGAACATTAGCTGATTTAAAAAGTAAAAAATATACGTTTTTAATAAAAAAAAAAAAAACAATTTGAACTATCTATAATGTGTTCGTTCATGGTTTGTTAAATTTTCTCACTTTATGTCAATCATTCTTGAGATGTCTCAATTCTGAAAATGGACGTTTTACTTAAAAACAGAAGAACATCCAATTCTCAAACAAAAGAAAACATTTTCTTTATGTGTAATTTCACTTAAATGCTGCAAGTGGAAATAATAATTACAGTTGAAATTATTTTGGGGAAATTATTCTGAAAGAAAACCCAAGAGAATTGAATTCGAATCACGGCGTCGTTCATACTTGACATTCGTCGAGAAATCACAAGAGAGAAGACTTAAAAAATCAAACGTCGAAACAAATCAACTGTTTACGTAGAGATGTAGGAAGTATTTCTCGTGTGTTTTCTGTAGATCGCCGAAAAACTCGAAATTGAAAAGCACTTAACTTCATGACATAAATATGTTGTGGGAATTGATGACAAAGCCATTAAAGTATTGTTATTTCCTATCAACGGAGTTTAAACAGATTTATCATAGCGGCAAGAATAACAATACCTTATTGACATAACATTGCGTATTACAAGACACCCTGTTCAGCTCCAGTGCAAACACATTTCAACCTCACACTTAGCCTCTTTGATGCCAGATGTGTACGGGACTGGGTTGCGGGCACGACAGCAATTGCACTCCTTCCTCTTGGTGTTCTGTTACGACATTAATATATTAGTTGTCATAATTGAGAGGAGTTTTTGGGTTCAATATTGGCTCCAGACACGAGATTTTAGAAAATGTTTCAATGTCAGATTATGAAGACATTAGTTGGTAGAATGGAAGATAAATTCGATTAGCGGTGAGGCAATGTATTTATAAAGAGGGGATGATGTATGAATTTTTAACTCCATAACGACTTTATGTCCAGACATTTTCGTAAGAATTGACTAAATATGGCTCAGTGTTATACATTTGGGAATTAAGGGAGGAAAAATGTATCCTGGAAGCCCAATGGTCATGGTATTAAAACTCGACATTTAAATAATTCCTTTATGTAAGGAAACGCAAAAACCCCCATTACTCTCACTAACTAGGAAGTCCTACTCAGTGTAATAAAGTTGCCTTTCAACTGTGATCTTTATAACCCTTGCTTCGATATAGCCGCCTTTGACATCTAAAAGATGAAGACTTCTAAGGAAATAAATATATAGAATGATTTTATTCAATTAGCTAAAAAGAATATTCAAAAGTGTAAACTTCCCAATCTAAGAATGTCATTGGGTGCTATAAAAGATTCCTTCAAAATTCCGAGAATCGTATTGCCAAAACAGTGGTAATTTTCTGATTATATTCCACTTCACTTTAAGTGATTTGCAAAACTCAAATGGTCACTTATCCAACACATCCATGTTCCATATAAGTTATTGCAAGCACTGATCAGTAGTGCAAACTAAGTGGGATCAAAATAGTAAGTTCTTCTAACATGACCAGCCTTCCATAATAAATCTGACTTTCTAAGTCATACCTTGAACCATAATACCAAGTATCTATTCATGAAAGTAATAACCATGGGACATATAACTCATGTTGAAAGACTTAAAGTACAATTTCGGCAATCTGTGAAGGACACGTCAGATTATATGGAAACACGACATACGTCTTCAATAATTTAATACCAAAGAAATGATGTATTTCATGGAAATAAATTGAAACCCCGCTATTCTCCTAGATGGACTAATAAAGACGAATCTATGTCACGGAGACATAATGGTAAATGAGTTTACTTAACGCATTTCTTCAGAGACATTAATGTGTAGTGTTAAAACGTGAAT